TGGTTTTTTTTTTGGGGGGGGGGGGTGAATAAGTGAGATGGAGTACACATTTGTGTTAGCTCTATATTTTTCTTTGATGGGATCATGCTTAATTCTTGAATTATAATATCCAAAGGTGTTCTTTTGGTTATGTAGGCAATATACAGAGGAGCGATGAAAGGGAAGCTGATAGTATCATGTCCCCTTCCTCCCGAGAGGATACCAAGGTTTCAGTTGCTGTACAAAGATGTGTAACACTCTGGTAATAGTACTCCATATGTCAACTTGTTATGATTCTTGTGTAGCACAGTTTGTTTTGTTGCGTTGTGTTTTAATGATAAGTTAAATCTTCACCACCATCAATGAATAAGTATTGCTGCTATGGAGTTTACATTTCATGCCTTTACTACATAGTTCAAGGGGACATACGTTATTCAAAGCAATACACTTACTAAATACAGCTACAAGATAGGAACGATAGAATCAAACATTGCAAGCACTTTAAAGGCTGTCAAATTTATTCAAAATGTTTGTGTCAAAATACAAAGATAGGAACGATAGAATCAAATGTGTATTTCAAAATCTGTGGACACAACACAATTTTATAACATTATTATTTAGCAAACTTTAAAGAGAGAATTTGTGGGGTCGATGGCCCTAGCATAGGAGAGACCATCCGCTCAATCCCCTCTTTCAAAAACAGCAGCTGCGCCCATCCCTGAGCCTGCAGCTCAAAATATGATGAGAGCACATGGTAAGGTCAATGAATGAACAAAACTGACCTGAAAAGGCGTAGCATGCAACTGTTATACTAAAAAAAAGTACCTATGCACATTGAGACAACACCAAAGTAACAATCTTTCCCACGACACTTCATCTCATGGAGTAATGTCGCAACACATCGTGCACCTGCAATTTTATGAGATGAATCAGTGTCTTCTGCCCTAGTTTTTTCATCATTCATCTAAAACACTTGAACCACAGAGTTTACCACAGTATGAAAAGACAAAGATATGACAAAAAACTTATGACTCACCTGTTGCCCCCAAAGGGTGTCCAAGGGCTATTGCACCTCCATTGACATTGACTTTCTCGGGATCAAGATTAAGCTTCTTGCTACAATACACAAATTGAGATGCAAATGCCTGCATATGAATACAAGCAAATCATTAAAATGATTCTCATAGAGAAGACGAAGAACCATATGTTGAAATATTAAAAAAAATCACAAACAAAACCTCATTGATTTCAAATAAATCAACATCATCCAGTTTTAGTCCAGCTGATTTTACAGCAGCTGGAATTGCAACAGCTGGTCCTACCCCCATCACAGCAGGATCCACTCCAACAGCAGCAAAACTCCTTTAAATAGAAAGAACAAAAAGTTGAATATACGGAACATCTTTGGAAGAGTGAACTTGTTCCAAAGATCAGTTCATTAGACAAGAATTACCTAAATACACCAAGGATTGGGAGCCCTTTGTTTATGGCAACACTTCTCTTCATAAGAAGAACTGCTCCTGCACCGTCACTAACTTGGCTAGAATTTCCTGAAAATCACATCCATGGTCAAGCCAAACACAATGTCATTAACCATGTTCACCGGTCAAGTCAGGAAAATCATGGTTAGTCAGGGTTCAATTACCAGCAGTTGTTGATCCATCCTTCTTAAAAGCAGGCTTTAACTTAGCCAGGTCCCCCATATTTGCATTAGGGCGAAAGCCATCATCAACAGATATGACTACATGCTTCTCCATTCCAGTTGCAGGGTCTATAATCTATTTGTTTCCATTATATAAATATTGAATATATTAGTAGAAAGATTCATAATCACACATTAAAGCCTACTTAAGTGTATAAGATATCAAACCTTTGTAGAAACAGGGATGATTTCATCTTTGAACTTCCCGGTAGCAGTTGCAGCGGCAGCTCTCTGGTGAGAGACAACCTAATGACAATAGAAAGCATAAGCTGGAAGCTCATTTGCAAAGGAAATTATTCTTGGGAAGTTAGACAAAAAAAATGTGACACTTACAGCAGCATAATCTTGTTCTTGCCTTGTGATTCCGTAACGTTGTGCAACATTTTCAGAAGTAATCCCCATAGGTATAAGACAATCTTGGGCAAGTGCAAAATCATCCACCTTTTAAAGCACACATTCAAACAAGTACATTAAATTTTGTTCTCTGGATGCATTGAAAGTTTCAAAGACCTATTGCTTGGAAAAACACAATTTGGCATACTCTTGGATTAGCAATTTGAGGTCTGCTGATATTGTCAACTGTCATGCTCTCTAATCCTGCCCCTATACCTGTACATTACAGACAAAAAATATAAATATTGAAAAAATCTAATGAATAATATTTCATATCCATTTCCATTACATAAGGAAATTCAATTTCCCTAGCATTATCTGAGATCTAAACATAATACAAAGTAGTTAGAATTTAGAAAGAAAATCATACCAATATCATAGAACCCAGCTTTTATAGATGCAGCTACAGCTTGAAGACCAGAGGAACACTGCCTGTTTACAGTTCTTACAGGGACAGTTTCTGGAGGCAGAAAAAAACATACCAACAGACTTAATAAATATAGCATGCATGTGTGTGTGTGTGTATGTATGTATATATACACAGAGAGAGATAGGGAGATGAAATATTACCTGGAAAACCGGCATAAAAAGCAGCCAATCTACATTCAGCTGCTCTCAGAGAGCCAGTGGCCAAGACAGTACCAACAACAATATCTCCCACTTCAGCAGGGTTTATGTTAGTTGCTTCAATGACAGCCTGCATTAGAACATTAGTACAAGTGAAATCTAACATTAGTACAATAGCCTTTTTAACCTATAAAAAAACACTTCTTGATCCATTTCAAACGTGGGATGACAATGCAGCAGCCATGGCAGAGGAGGGACTTGACCTTAAGAACGGGGGCAAGCAAATCGTCGGGAAATGTGTCCTTGAATCCTCCTCGCTTCGCTCTGCATATGGGGGTCCGGTACGCCCTAGGGACAAATGACAACTATACCCTTTAGGCATTCCACAATTTAAACCAGAAAATGAAACGGGTCAAAAAAAAATCAAGAATGAGTAAAAGACAAGAAACTTACGCCACAATGACAACATCGTCTCCACACGCATGAGTCCTGCGATGAGCTGAACTATCGCCTGCTGCTAAACATTCCGATGACTGCCCAACAAAAAAGATCTCAATATATCATGTAGAATAGTAACAAAGAGGCAAGGTAATGAAATCAAATTCTGGGTTTCAAAAAAGAAATGAGGTAGTGTTTGGCAACTAGCATTTCATTTCAATTCATGCATTTCAATTCCAAAATTTGAAATTCAGAATTTCAAATGACAAGGGGAGGTGCATGGATTTCAAATTAAGCTTTGTTTTGAATATAAAGAATTTGATTCAAATCCAAATTTAAAATGCTTAAGTTTCCCAAACATGGAATTTAGGCCAAATCCGGATTTGAAATCCAAATCCATGTTCCCAAACATACCATGAAGTTAAATAGTTCCACTCACTAATTTTTTTTAAGAAAACTTGGGGAATTATGTAAAAGTTTGTGTTTTGCTTACAGAAAGAGAAGATCCATGGGAGTGATCAGGAAGAGGAGCAGTGGACTGAAGGTGTTCCAGAAGAACTCTCTGTCTGTAAATAGCCTTTTCCATTTCTTCCTCTTTCAAGTTTCTACCAGTTTCTTGAGCTTCTCTGTCTCTGCGGAGGTCTATATATATATACATGTAGTAAGAAGGTGCTCTGTGGAATGCTAATGGACTGCGGGAGAAGACGATCCATCTTACTAATAAATTTTAATGTAATTTCAACAGGACCCCGCGAATTTTGTAAACTAAATTACTTTTTGCCAGTTTTTCATTGTTTTAGGTAAATAGTGTTCGGTAAATTTTTAGGCCCGATAAAATCAAATATGATATGGGACCTAAATACCAATACTATTTTTAAAAAAACACGTATGAAAGCTGTGCATTTTACTATTTTAAATTTTTCAGTGAGTGTCACAATAATCGCATTTGAGCACTAAAAAAATGCATTTGAATTTTTGGCCAATTACCTGACCGGTCAATCTAACATAATGACTGTTTGCTAAATACGGAGTAGCATTTTGATTAGCATTATTGCTGATTTTTTTAGACATTTTCAATTAAAAAATATTAGCCAAAATGCAGAATAATGTGTCTGATGAATGAAACATATTTACTTCGCTCCGTGCTCAAAAGTAGTCAAAATGTTTAGAGCATGTACAATAGTAAGGCAAAAAAAATTGCCACACGATGACATTGAACTCTTCAACCAATCAGAAATAGTCCAGTTAACATGTGGCAAGAGAGAGGAGTGACATTACATGCAGTGGCAAGTCAATGTTTTCTCACTTTTTATACTTTTTTATATATATTTTAACTATAAAAAATTTTTTATTTATCTTTTTTTATAAAAATAGATGTACTTCTTATAAAAAAATTTCTCTTTATTGTACAAAAAAGAAAGAAATAAAAACAAATTTTAAAAAAAGACAGTGGGAAAGGGGTGCCTTGCTCATGACTCTCAAACCATGGAGGAATGATGATGCCATGCAAGGCATTATGAGAAAACGGGTTGAGGTGGTAGGGCGTGGGAGGCAATGCCTCGCCACTGCCTTTGCTCTAATGCTGATAGAATTATTTAACGAAAAAAATTGATTTTTTTTCATTTATTATTATTTTCCCTCGAACAAAAAGAATCTATGAAAATTCAAAAACGTTTTGATTTCTTTTTTTTATTTCTTTTCATTTTTTTCTTTCCAACTAAACAAGGGGTAAACAATAAAACTATAAAAATTCTTAGCTAAATACACACTCAGGTAGAGTTGAGTAACTGTACAAGACCGGAACGGTCCCTTGAAAATACCGGTACTATTTAGGATGAGATCAATTTAGTCTTTTCTAAAAATCGATCCAAACTAGTCTAGTCTTCATGAAAAAATAGAGATCTTTTGGGACCGGATAGTCTCGTTAGGATTAATCCAAGTCCGGCCTGATCCTTAATATGTAAAATTCTTAAATTTTTGTTCTTAAAAAAATACTCGTAAAAAATAAAGAAAACTTATTTTTGACCATTTAATTTCTTTTTTTATACTTTATTGACTAATATTAGCTATGCAGCATGAATATTTTTATGTAAGATGGAAATTGGATAGAATTAATGAAAAAATAAATTTAATATGTATGTTTTACAGGTATGACCGTATGAGATCTTTTTTATCACTTATTTGAACATTTTAAGCAAAATTATGTAATGTACTATGTTCGATATTGATTAGATAAATATATTTCTATAAAAATTAAATCTTAAAGTATAAATAGACATGTATAAAAATTATATTTCAAATATATTATATCTCTAGTCCTAGTCTTATCTCGGTATAGTCTTTTGGATAATCAAAGGACCAAATGAGACTATCGGTTCTAGACCAAACGGTCTCAAGGACCACAACGGTCCCATCTTTTCTACCTCAAATCCAATCTATCCCCATCAATCTTTTTGATCATAACCTTTATGCTCAGCACTACACTCGGGTCACCAAGATACACCGTCAGCTCTTTGGGCATAAAAACAAACCACCTCCATTTCACTTTTTATTTACTTTGTATCTACCACAAATCCACAATCCATTAAATTTCTACAAAATAAGATGTGACAATAATATTTTATTATATCAAATATTTAACGAAAAAAACTAAAGAAATAAAAATTATTTTGATGTAGCGCAATATATATCGTACGATCTATTTTACGGTATTTCTCGTACATTCGAAGCGAGTACTCAATTTCAAGTAATAGTACGGAGTAATAGAATAGTTATTTTATTTTACTCAAATTGATTTATGTTGGAAAAGAAAGTTTTAGTTATGTATCTCAAAAAAATTCTAATTAATTTCGGGGTGGGAGTATTATCCCATCCCTTCCCCACCGCCAACCGCCGACCGATGGAACGTGACCTTCTCTTTCCATCCTCAAAAGAAGAAAAAAACGAACGTGACCTGATTCTTCGCGATTCTCACTCTAACCTCCTCTCTTCATCACGCCAGAGAGTTCTTCTTTGCGAGATTCTTTCGTTCACTTTAAGTATCTGTCCTGTAATTGGCAGTAGACCAAGGCTGTGTGGATCTGGATCGGATGCTAGTGGAGGAGATGCAAGGTTCGCCGGAGGTAGCTGAAGAGCCGCCGATGTCGGATTCAGCGCGGAAATCCGATCATTCGAGCTCTTCTGAAGTCTCGGTGGCCATTGAGGACGGCGCACTTGATGATGCTGCAGGTTAGTTTCGTAGCTTCTCTACGGTATTATCATGTTTTCTGGAGTTATTATGAGTACCGAGTTGAAGAAATTTGCTTGGAATTAGTTGCCGTTAGTATTCTGTCTTGTATTTGACGAACTCGTGGCGAAATGTCAAGCTTCAGAAAATGAATCAAGCCTGACTTACTGCCATGCACATAGCCTCTTAGTTCTGCTTATTTTCAAAAGTTTATGCTAAATGCTTTATTTATACACTGTATTGTTGCTCAAACCCACCCGAGCTTGTTGGAATTGAGTGTATAAATAGCTCCAATTTTGTATTACATTATTAACTCCTATATATAGAAAATGAAAAACAAGTAACCAAAAATATCTTCCTAACTAACTAACAAACTATGTAACTAATCAACTAAACAAGATAAATGGTGGTTTACACCAACACCCCCCCTCAAGTTGAAGGTGGGAACAACTTCAACTTGCAACTGAATAAGATCCTTGTTGACCATGCCTAAACAACAAACTTTTCTGTGAAGCTTACAGCATCTTGTGTTTGACACCTCCAGTGATGACAAGACCATCCAATTTTAAGGGTGTACAAGCAGCCAAAGCAGCATTTACTTGCTCAGTTGTTCCAATTTGATCTTGAAATCTGCCCAGCATGTCATAACCACCTTGATTTTTATATGTATCCAAAATGTCATCATTGATTTCAAGTGTCTTCTGTGCAAATAGACCTTCAGAACCACCCAAAAATCCAAGCAAAGTGAAATTGTTGTACTGATTCTGATCACAGGAGGAAGTATTCTCTGTGAACAATTCTAGTCTATCACACACACACTTAGATCGTTGTGATAAGCAAAGTGCTAAAACACTCCCTCTGTCACAACCAGTCACATGCAGCAAGAGAAATAAAACAGTAAAACAGACACAAAAATTGTTTACGCAGTTCGGAGCAATTCTCCTACTCTGCGGGGCCCACGTCCGTGTAATAGCCCGTCCACTAAATCACTGCAAAGATTACAACTTCAACCACCGTAGGTACCAGTTAGTGGATTGAGCTAATCTATTTCAGATGACTTAAACACATAACTCTGTTAGTGTTTCTCCTAATGGCATATTACACCAACCTCGATAACTTCTGTTATAGGACGTGCTGACAGCCCTTTCTCCAGCACTTCTTAGTTCATCAGCTGGATGTGGTTTTCATCAAAACCAAACATGAATCTGCAATATGATCTACGAATCGGCCAGAAACTTCTTGTGCTCACAGCAGCACCATATATCAGAAAGAACCAAATATGATTCTCTTCTGATCTCGTTTTGCAGCTAGGGTTTCGGCTCTCTCAATTTCTCGCTGGACTTATTTCTGCGTACTCTCTCTTAATGCCCACACTGAGATCATATCATATCTATACTTATATAGGAACCTATGAGAACCCTAGTTATATCTGCACTTGAACTCTTTAGCAACTGACATTCCTAGACTGCGTGGAACTCTATCTCAGCTTCGTAGGGATCAGGGATCATCTTCCACTTGTATACGGAAACACATGCATGACATGGTAGGACTCTATACCCAACCAGCTACTACGTACGTACAAACAACATTCCTATTTATTTGTTTTTGTCACAAGGATAAGGCCAACAAAATAAACAAGATAAACAAAAACTCTCCCCCTTAGTAACTAACCCAGAGAACTAACACAAAGTACTTTAAGAATTGTGAACTTTGAGGGCACCATACAACCCCCATATGAAATTATGTCCTCCTGGAGATTGTCTACCACAGAAAACAAGTCCAACCCTAATTGTTGGATGTTCTGTGATTATCTGAGCAACTGGGACATTTGCATTTGACCAAAAAAGTGAGGGAACAACCTGCTTATTGTATGTCCACCAGAGGGATCTGCAGATCCATTCTCTTTTAACTTCTTTGCCTTTCTTCCGTCACAAAGAACTCGTCTGACTTGGCAACCCAAGAAATCTAAAAGCCATGGTTCTGAAATTGAGAGACACAACCGATGATGAAGTTGAGATGACAAATCAATTGATGAATTCACACGAAAACATCAAAAGATGATATGCAATCAATTGACAAAAGCAATTGATGAAATCAACCGAAAACCGGATGATGATGAAAGTGAAACTCAATCAAACCGACTGAGTGAAATTGAAACAGTGATCAACAGATTTGCATTCGATAATGATGAATCTGATTTTACATTTCATGGAGCACAAGACAATGAACATGACCTGAATTGGACAGATGAAAAGTCCATAAGTGAGGATCTTCTGAGACGGAAGTTTCCTTAGGGATGCGCTCTGGCATCAACGGAGATCCACGGATCTGAGCCTGGTGGAGTGCGTGGGGGAAGAGACCTCCGGTGGTGCAGTTTTGAATCACTGGCGTGTTTCTGAAGCGCCAGAGGAAAGGTGGCCGCCATATCAAAGTCAATAGGGGTGGCGGCGCTCGGCGGATCTATGAAATTGGAGAGATCAATAGACGGAGATGGCGTCAAATTGAAGTTTTCTCCACTCGGATTCATATCCATTGATGAATAATCAACTGGAAAAATTCGTGGAGTGCGACGGCTCTCCACGCGAAACCATGATCCGTTGAGGACGAGGATGAACAGAACACCGGTGATAAATCCAGAGGTAGAAGACGCCATTGGAGGAGGAGGATGGAATGACATGATGTAATTGACGATTCACCTTCTTTGTAGACGGAAATCTCTAGGGTAGAAACTGAAGATGGAGAGAAGAATTGGAAAAGGTAAAACGGTGGAAGAGAAAATTGAAGATAAGGAGTGATTGCTTGGAGCCATAGCAACCAGCTCTGATACCATGTTGGAATTGAGTGTATAAATAGCTCCAATTTTGTATTACATGATTAACTCCTATATAGAGAAAATGAAAAACAAGTAACAACCAAAAATATCTTCCTAACTAACTAACAAACTATGTAACTAATCAACTAAACAAGATAAATGGTGGTTTACACCAACAGAGCTACGGATAATTTGGTAGACAGTTATTAATTTGTTGATACTGAATGATGATTAAGAATTCACTTGCTTTGAAGGCAAAGTGTAAAGCTTATTGCCTTACTTAGGGGGCGTTTGAATTGGTATTTTGGAGCATTTTCATTCTAAAAACCTGTTTCCATTTAATAGCACTGGCATTATGTGTTTGGTAAAGCTCAAAATGCCTCCAAAACACTTAGAAATCAAGAAGCTACAAGTTGTAGCTCTTTGATCTGAGCATTTTGTAGTCTTTCAATTATCTTTTTTAATCTTGGAAACCTTTTTTTTCATTTCAGCAATGTTTTTTTCGAACAGTTTACATGAATTGTGCTAAATTGTCAATGAACATGACACATAGATGATAGACCACTTTCCAGAGTATTGTGCTAAATTGTCAAGTGAACATGACTCTGTTTTTATGCTTATGAATTATGCTGTGTGAAAATAGCTACAAATATCTCACGGACTAGTGGTATGGAATTTCATAAAGCAAACATGAAACATGCTGAGATTTCAAATCCTGATAAGCCCAAGTCACCTTCTGGCTCTCCTAAGTTGGGAAGGTCAAAAACTGAGAGGCAAAGGCATCATAATATATGCGCTGAAGAAGCAGCAAAACTTTTTGACAACAAACTTCCTGTTCAAAAGAAGGTACAAGTTTATGACAGTTCAATAATATTCTATTATCATTACATTTATGGTTGCGAATATCCAATACTCATGTCCCTTAGGAAAGGGGAATACATAGGAATGCAGGATAGCTAAGTGGCGTTTTAGGGAATCTCCTTCTCCTTAGATTAATAGATTTCTTCTTAATTCTTTCCTCTTCAAATAAACTCTCCTTTTATAGAAGAGCTTAAAAATCATTGTTAAAATATGAGATTTAGCCATTTTTTAAACTAAATAATAGAGTGATAACCTAGAAATAGAAATCTAATGCAAAAAGGAAACTAGGAACAAATTTGCCAATAAGCTAGAATTGAATGTATGCATAAAGAAGATTAGATTTGTCAAAATTAGTCTTGTGCCTCTGTTGCATTAATGCCTGTTATTCCTTGCGTTTAACAATGCTTAGACAAAATAAGCTAGCAAACTCCGAGTGTGATTCAATGATTTTCTTCATGAAAACTGGATTGAACGAGCACAACCTACTTTTTTTTAAAAAACTTTTTTAAGATATATTATGTCACCTCAAAACGGTTCAAATGTTCTCAAGCATGTACATTGTACATCCAGACATCCATGACAGAAGTTTATGAAGAGGATCTTTTGGGAACTACACAACATATGTGCTCTTTCCTTTTATTAAAGTGGATAGCATCCGGCTAATAAAATTGCCTCAGAACATTGTAGTGGAGGAGCATTGTGCAAGCTATGTTTTAGACTCTATTTGGCATGCTTATCGAGAAGTTGATTGCAACAATCTAACATCTGAAATTTGAGTTATTTGTAGGTTCATAAATGTAGACACATATAAAAGGAATTAGATTTTTAATGAGAGTTGAATAAAAAGATGTCATTTTTGTAGCACAAGGTTATTAGTTGAAATAATTGATTCTGAATTTTTTCTGGAACTCTATGTGAGATAACAGTTAGTATTTACCAAACACAGTTTTAGGCTTTTGGCTCAGTTTTTTTTTGAAGTACCAAGCTCTACCTAGTTAACAATGCTCTAGGTTCTTTGTCTTCATCTTATTCCTCTTTTTCTGGTTTTTCAATATTAATTAGTGGAGAATGATACACTTACCAAATATGCTGCTTTTGGTAAAGTTATCTGCAGAAAACCGTCAAGGAGTGTTACCATTTTTTTCTTTCTCTGAATGGTGAGAATGACATGCAATTCGGAACCCAGAAACACATTCTTTGAGTTATGTGTTCAATTCATAGCAATTTTTAAAAATTGAGCAAGCTTGAATAGAAGAACTCTTTTAAGCTGTTCAATACAATATTGTTCGCATTGGCTGGCAAATAGGTGTATTTTTATAGAGGTCTTAGGGAAGGAAAGTGTCCCTTAGAATATTATCAGCACTTAAGTGTGGCTGTATGAATCGATATGATTTTGTTTTATTTCGTTACTCAACTTTATCTTGATGAATGCCATGTCATAATGCCAAGAGCCTCAGATTTTTCCAATGCTCTGAACATGATTTCTTGCTATTTCAAATAACATATAATTACATATATGCCTACTAGATATGGCATAATATCTATTAAAACCTAACATGTATAGGATACATCATAAAGACTTGAAACACTGCAGCTCCAACTGTTGAACAGAATAGCTACAGTCAAAGATGATGGAACTGTAGAATTTGAAATTCCGGGAGATGTTGGAGTGATTGTAGATGGTTCTGAAAACAAACACACTGATTTGGAGGACAAACATATTGATGCAATGGAACTTCAGTATATTCCACCAATGCAGATAGTAATGCTTATTGTTGGAACACGTGGTGATGTGCAACCTTTTGTTGCAATTGGAAAACGTTTGCAGGTATACTATTTCCATGCATGCGTTTTTCCATTTTTCAGATGAGGCAGAACTTAATTCTTCACTATATTGTACTTACTTAATGATTGTATTCTTACAGGATTATGGTCATCGTGTCAGACTTGCGACTCATGCAAATTTCAAAGAATTTGTCCTCACTGCTGGGCTGGAATTCTATCCTCTTGGGGGTGATCCAAAAGTTTTGGCCGGATGTATGTTTCCAGTATTCCTCAGAATAACATTGAAAAGTTAATTCGCTATGTATAATGGACTACTGACATTAATTTTTTAATTTAAATTTTTTCAGACATGGTTAAAAACAAAGGATTTTTGCCTTCTGGACCATCAGAAATACCTGTTCAACGAAAGCAATTGAAAGATATCATATATTCCTTGCTTCCAGCTTGCAAAGACCCCGATATGGATACTAAGGTTTCTTTTAAGGCGGATGCAATTATTGCTAATCCTCCCGCATATGGTAAGGCTTGTTACTCAAGCAATCTTTGAACTAATATACTTTAACCCCAATGTAGTGTTTGACAGTGACTTAATAATTAATACTCCGTATTTGAATGGTCAATAGGAGTGTGTGTGTGTGTGTGTATATATATATCTGTTTGAATGATATCAGTATTGTGAACTGTAATAATGCACCTTTTTTTGGAATATCTGAAAGAGAAAGGAAAAACATTTTTTTACATCTGAGAGATTATCCATATTTAAAACATAACTAGCACCGATAGTATATTGTAATATTAAATTAATGTTGGATTCTATAACAAAGGTTAGCTGGAGTTACGTAGTTTTTTTAAACATTCTCTTACACAAAATATTGTTACAGCACAGATGTTTTGACGTTGATTACCAATTCAAAATGGTTAGGAATTCATCATACATTGATAGCCTCTCTTCCGATAATTGGTAACTTCTGTTGTGGAACTAATTGTGTTAATGTAGTTTTGCCTTATCAAAATGTCTAAACTATCAAGTTTATGCTCTTGAGAATCTGGTAAGGGTTTTCCTTTTGAAATCAGAGTGTTAAAGCAAATTTGATCTGAAGGGTAAACCTTTGTTGGCCTGAAATTGTTTGCATGTTTACCGTGATTATGATTTATGACTACCCTGCTGGGTTGCTGGGTAGTCTTAATGAGCAGATTTTCAGAATTTATGCATACTTTATTCCACACATCATTATATTTTAACACGGGAAGGTAAATTCTCAGGGCATATACATGTTGCTGAAGCTCTGAAGATTCCGATTCATATATTTTTCACAATGCCATGGACGTAAGTCTTTGTAGGGCAGTGTTGAAAGATCTTTTTCTGTTCATTTTCCTTGGAGCACTATGTTTACATATTATTTTGTTTCCTTCTGTTACATAAAGCCTAACTCATATTTTATGTGCCCTGGCAGGCCGACTAGTGAATTTCCTCATCCATTGTCTCGTGTAAAGCAACCTTCAGGATACCGGGTTAGTTAGTCACTTGAATGTCTTTCCTCTTGCATCTTGTAAACAACCTCTCTACTTTTGAGTAGGGGTAATGTCTGAAAACAATAAAGATTATCTTTAAATCATTATTTCATATAATGTTAATCTCTATGTATTTTGCAGTTGTCATATCAGATCGTTGACTCTTTGATTTGGCTAGGAATAAGGGATATGATAAATGATTTAAGGAAGAAAAAGCTGAAACTTCGACCAATCACGTATTTAAGTGGTTCACATGGCTTTGAATCTGATATTCCACATGGATATATTTGGAGTCCTCACCTTGTTCCTAAACCAAAAGGTAAAACCTTTTACCACTTTTGTGCTTATACGAAAATGGTGTACTACCACTCTTCCATTTCTCATCATGTAAAACAGCAATAATGCGACATTCACAGCTGCAAGCAAAATATATTGTGTTAATCCTCTTTGCAGACTGGGGGCCTAAGATTGACGTGGTGGGGTTCTGCTTCCTTGATCTTGCATCAAAATATGAACCTCCAGAATCACTTGTGAGCTGGCTTAGGGCAGGTCAAAAGCCAATCTACATTGGATTTGGTAGTCTTGTGAGTTTCCTGAACCCCAGTGTTTCTTTCTTTAAAAAAATCCATACAACTTAAATTTCTAAAATCTCAGCCCGTTCAAGAACCAGAGAAGATGACCAAAATAATTGTTGAAGCACTACAAAGAACTGGTCAGAGGGGGATTATTAATAAAGGCTGGGGTGGCCTTGGTAACTGTGAGTTTTTGTTCCCTCATTTGACTTGCTCTACTAGATTGTATGTCTGGAAGTTTCATCTTTTTGAATGTGAAACTCTTGTTAGGAAATGTTACTCACTAAGGTAGGTTTTATTGCAGTAGCTGAACCAAAGGATTTTGTCTATTTACTGGATAACTGTCCTCATGATTGGCTTTTCCTACAATGTTCTGCCGTGGTAAGTTTACATCTTAAACATTAACTCGATGAGAAGGAATTGAATATTGCAATTCTTTTCTGCTCAACAATACTCAGCCCCCTCCCGCCTGTACCTCGTTTACCTATGAAATTATGAATAATTGAAACTTGAAAAATAGAAATAAACAGAATGTGAAGGGTTCTAATTTCTCTAGCCTTCATTTGTTTGTCTCTAGTCTCTCTATGATAGCCTGCTGCCCAGTATGCGTTGAAGTTCCAATAATTGATGACATGAATTTGGAGGAGATGAAGAATCATAATATACAGAGTAGAATATTATTTTTAAAAAATCAAGTGATAGATTTATCCGCAGTGACAATGAAAGAACTTAGGTGGTTGGACTGGTTGTGAAGAAAAAGAGGCATTGCTTTTTTGGCCTTTTTTTGCTCACTCCAAGTGTAGGGTATAAGGTGGGGGCAAAGATAAAGGCTTATAAGGCTTGACATGAGGTAAGGTCTGCTTACCCACACCCTCCCCGGACCCTATTTTTGTGGGATTCAACTGGGTTGTTGTTATTGTAAGGCTTGACAAGAGGAAAAAGCCGCATTTTAAGGAGCTTAAAAGTTGAAGGTTCATGAATTTAATGGTCAAAAGTGCAAATCTCTATAATACTATGTTATAGATCTAGGGGTTAAATTTTTAATCCCGGAGTTGTTGTTGTTGTTATCATCATCATCATCATTATTGTTAGTTTCCTATAATTGATTATTATTATAATTATTTTCCAATTTCTATTATTATTAGGAATATTAATAGTTTCCTATTCTTAGTCTTAGCTGTCTTATTTTAGTTCATGTTCCTAAGCAAGTATTCACGTTTCCTAGTAGGATCATGATAGTTCTATTGTAAGGCTTTGCCTATTTATTCTCACACAATCATTAATAAAATTATCATCGTTGAAGCCACAATGCTTCCTAATTAGTCACGAACTCTAGGATCCAAAGTTCACAATGCTTCCTAATTAGTCACGAACTCTAGGATCCAAAGTTCTTACTTGCCCGGTTCAGGGAGGTGCAAGTTGATGCTGACTGCATAGTTTTTCCTTCCTATTATCTAAATAGATATACGGAGTATATTGTTTCGTCACCACAAATTATCCAATATTTGGTTAACTTCGAACTTTTCAGGCATGGTCCTTCACCTATAGAATCTTAGCCTTAGTATATATTATGTATCTTCCACATTTCTTGCAAGGGTGCTGCATAGCCCTTGGACTTCCGAAATTTGACATTTGAGCAAATTACACATATTCTTTCACCTTCATTTCAGGTGCATCATGGGGGTGCTGGAACAACGGCTGCTGGTCTTCGAGCTGCGGTATTCCCTAGGATATTTGGGGGGGGGCATTTAGTTGTGGGAATTACGATGTAGGGTGAAGGAAGCGGAGGAGCTAACGTCCCTCAAACTCCTCTCCATAATTTGAGGGATTTCGGGGGAGTTAATTTTCTCTTAATTTCTTTCACTTTTAAAATCCGTCCAAGAATTTTCTTCCCTGTTTGACCCATGACCCGGCACACATATTTATGAGAGTTGAAAAAAACCATTGACTGCCCACATTCACTCTTGGATGAATAGTTTTAAATAAAGTGAATATTGTAGATGAAAAATGACGATATGATATGTAATCATTAAAATTGGAACTTGGAAGGGTTAATTTGTCACATAAAGCAGACTTCTTTTCCATAAGCCCATAACAGACCAAAAAGGTGAGTGGGGGTGGGGGAGAAAATTATTGGACGGAGCGAGTAGTAAAATTGTTCTATCTTTCCACTATATTTTTTTGCATGAATGTGTAGTGTTAAGTAGTTCTATACAATTAATTAGCACTATTTTATTTGCAAAAAAATACTCCGTATATAAAATACAATATTTTTACATATATATCCAAACTACCAACTCATTTGCACTTCTTCATTAGCACAAACAGAATAAGGAGTACATACTATTTTTTAAATGAACTTCATTTTCCTCCCATCCCCTTCACCTTTTTTCCTCCCCTCTTTTGAACCAAAAAAGGGATAAGAGGTCATGTTGTAATTCCGATTAGTTATCTATTACTTTTCTTATAATACCTGTCCTTTGGATCTTCTGCAGTGCCCAACAACTATTGTCCCTTTCTTTGGTGACCAGCCATTTTGGGGGGATAGAGTGCATGCTAGAGGAGTAGGTCCACAACCAATACCGGTTGAGGAATTTTCACTTAACAAACTGATTGGTGCAATTGAATTCATGCTAGATCCAAAGGTAATATGTTGTTTTCTTGTTCTGGAATAATTTTCTGATGTTATATGGAAAGTCATATTTTAGATAATCTCCTGAAGATGAAAAGTATTCATTCTTATTCAGCTTCAAATCCTTGTATGGTTGGAGGATTTTGGAAGGGTGTGTGATAAGAGGACCGTGGTGTGTTTGGTAGGAATTATCATTATCAGCACCTCTAGAAAAATAATGAGATGAAAAACTCTAAAATGTTTTCACCTAGATTAGTTCCACATGCTTGGGAACCCATCATTAGACGGAAATAATTGAGATAATTGATATTGTCCTGTACATTACTTGATTGAAATAACAACATCAACATGCAAATCATGAAACATGACATGTTTGGCTGATGGAGTTAGGGGGGAGAAAATGGGGGAGTGGTGAACTTCCCAAATTTCTCATATCACAGCTCCATATTGAGAGATGATGGGTGAGAGATAAACAACTTATCTAGTGTAGTCTCACAAGTAGGGTCAGAGGGGGGGGGGGGTGCCGATGCGTTGCCCCTACCTAAGGTTAGGCGGTAGAGATATTCCCAAAAGATTCCCGGCTCAAAAGTCCGCAATTAACACAATGAACTATTTGTGAATTGATGCCGAGCAAAAGTAAGATATTTATTACATATAGATTGTTACGAAATATTTTTTTAATTACAGAGTTTTTTGCATATTCTTATGAAATGTTATTGCATCTCTCCATTTGACTAGACTAAGCATCTTCTTCAACTCTCATTTTCTTCCCCTCCCCTATCCTGCTTTCTCATCCCCTCTTCGGACCAGAACATGTCTAAAGTTATTTCTCTGTATTTGATTCCTGCTACATGTCAAAACGAAGTCCAGAAAATAGTCAGAATGATATGACATTGGCATTGGTATAACCTGGTCCAGCCACCCTCACCCAATATAAATCTGTTTGGGTAGCATTTTCATATAGAAGATAGAGAAACATTGTAAGCCACATTCTTTTCCCTAACAGGAAATGTAGAAGTGTGGCTTTAATTTTTGGACACCAAAAATGGACATTGTGACTTTAATTTAGGGACGGAAGGAATATTTTTCTGCCTTACAAAAAAAACAAGTGAGATTATTGACAGGTAAAGAATCGTGCGGTGGAACTTGCGAAGGCGATGGAGAATGAAGATGGCGTGACAGGAGCAGTTACAGCCTTCTTCAAGCACCTTCCAACCAAAAAATCTGAAACCAAGCAGGTCCCTTCACCTTCCCATCCTTTTTCTGTAAGAAGATGCTTTGGCTGCTCCTAGATACTGTTTATATTTGTGCTATTGATAGTATCGTGATTTTTCTCTCCTCCCCCTCGTCCCTGTTTTGTCATATGAGTATATCAAATACTTGGGGGAGGGTATTCAAGACTACCATCTTCGATATTCATAAGTTGGCTTTCCCCAATTTGTGTTGGTTTTTTTACTTTTCGATTCCATCAAAATTCAATGAAAAGTCTTTTTGGAGTATTACTCGGCACAAGTTTCTCGCTCTTAAAATTTAACAATCTTGATCTTGTGATGAGACAACAGTATAGCAATATTATCATTTTTCTGTACGTCGTCTATTATATTTCATAGCAATTGGAGAAAAACTCGTGTTGATGACTGCTGAAATTGTAAGATTGTGATATGGAAGACATTTGACGTAAAATGACCATTTTGTTTGGGAAATTACCATTGTTCTCTTTTATTTGTGGTTAGATTGTTGAAGCCTAATCTTTATCTATGTTTTGTTCAAGTGACTAAGGTGCCATGTTTATAATCATCTCCATTTGGGGTTTGAGTGTGCTATTATAATCTACCCCGGATTATTCATTTATAATTCGGTTCTTGTGACACTGATGCCGATGTCATATTAATTGTTTTTAATGAGAGTGCTCATCTTCTACTCCAATTTAAAAACGTGAAAAGCCCAAATTCTCCTCGAGCTCGACTAGTTAATGTCGTAACGATTTTTGGGTGCTCTAAACAAAATTTATCAAGTCTCCCCTCCTTGTCATGGCTTGTTTACCCTTTCATTGACAACGATTATCCAACTAAGCCCTCACTTATTACAAAAGCGTATGAGGATATTTGTAGCATCCTCTATTTTTTATGCTTTTTCCTTTGAATAACTGTAAAAAACAAGCCCAACGAACGCATCAGGACAAAATATGGAATTCGGAGTCCGAATTCTAGAGTTCGATAACTTGAATGTATTCGGAGTCCGAATTCTAGGGCTTGTTATTTTGAGCTCCATTAACTCTATTATAAGCAGTATTTTAACAAATCGATTTAAATATGACTAAGATATAGAGAAACTATCAAGAAAAAGAGTTCTATGTTTTTATTTCTTAAATATGAGTTTGCATTATGGTAATGTGACACTGTACATTTTACGTAATGTAAATAGTTATGATTGGTAATGTAAATGTATTTTAACTCCTATTTCGGAAAATGAAAATATGAAACTCCTATTTTGATATATTTCTAATGTTTTACTTCTATTTTAGTCTTTTTCCCCAGTATTTTTTCTAATAGAAGTCCTCAACTTGTTGAAAAACAAAGAGCCAGCGACAAGCGACAACCCCACTGGAGTTTGAACATGGTGTCTTTCGATTTTGGAAGAGCCACAATGATGCGACTAAATCATAAGATTTTTAATTGATTCTAGTTATGAAGTATTTAAAACTATTTGGATTACTTGATTTTAAATTATTTGGAGTATTTGTTTTCAATTACTGTATTGTTACACAAAGTTTTGTTTGAGCATGCGCAAACTCGACTAATGTCCACCTCTATCCTTTACATTTTGCGTACCCTAATATGAACCTCTTCATATGAAATGTATTTCGTTATAAATGTTGCTTAACTTGCAGTTTGTGACTTGTGAGAGTCTAAGACAGGTCATGTGCATGTCATCGTATCAAATTAATTACTTTTTTCGTCTCTTAAAAAGGTTCAACATTTGATTTAGTACGAAAATTAAGAAAAAATGAAATGGTAAGTTTGTAATTGGTGTTGAGAAGAGATAAATTTTATGTGCCACGAAAAATTCTCTAAAAATAAAAATTCAAATAAATTTTTTTTTGAGACTAACAAAAAAAAAAAGAAGAAATGTGTAAGTTTTTCGTGGGAGGGAGGGATTTGATTTTGAGTGGATCCAATTAAACCATGTCATGCTTATAATTATAAACCTTTGCTTTTACGTGTACACTTCAACCTAAATCCTGCACGAGGGTTAATTCATTGAGTAATGGAACATAAATGTCAACATAATTACGTGATTGGACTCACTAATAATAGCTAAAACATAGCATAATAAACTCATAATTATGTATCCATCTTTTTTTTGCATCTATAAATAGCAAAAACACCCACTAGTGCTTCATTAGTTTGTATAATTGCACGGTTAATATTCACATCTTTTTGCAAATTGTTCACTAGTACCATTTGCACTGCTTATTGAAAAAACTAATGGTCAGGAATAAAATTTGTGTGCATTCTACGCATCTATAGGATAGCCCATGTAATAATTAATATTTGTTACTTTTAGTCTCTAAAATTAAATAAATTTTACAATTTTCTTGTTTAGTTTGTTCCAAGAATAAAGATTATACTTCACTTATTTCCCCTTTCAAAATAAAGATTATGCTTCACTTATTTCCAGAGTCGCATATCATATTGAAATACTCTCTACTGTTTTATATTCGTTAAAAGAATGTCACATTCCTTCTTTTATGATTTCTAAAATATTATTTTGGCTATTAATGTGTGATTAAATTTTATCACATGACATAAACCCTATAGAAGTAAATTCTATAATTATATTTTAAAATGAATCTGATAGCATAAAATAAAAAATAAAAACACGATATACTTTTAAGGCTAATTGCGATAACTAAAATTATGAGCTCCGAACATGTTAATCCTATAACTATTGTACTCTATTATATTCTAGTAGACATTTTGATATACAAGGCATTTCCTTTCAAATAACATTCCTTGTTGTCTTACATGTGTTTTTTTAAGGAAGTTGTCTTACATGTGGTTAATTGAACAAAACACATGCATTTTCTCAAACTTTTCTTAGTTTTTACACATACTATGGAAGTTTTCAAACTTTGCCACATATAATTGTATTTTTTAAAAAATAAAGTAACCGTGCATGTTAAGTAGTTGTAATTGACTTTGTTAGTTCGTGGTCACTTAGTCACTCTCAAACAAATTAAATTAAACCAAATTTAGACAAAAATGTTTCTTTATCTCCTTTAGAAGTATGTATCCTATCAGAGGCTCTAACACGCTTTTCAAGTGAAAATATTTGATCGATTCACATTAAATTGATCATAATAAGGTTCATTAAAAAATAGATATATCATTATGACCTTTGTGATATACGGAGTAAATATATGTTAGGAATCAAAAGTTAAATGAATTTGAACATAATATATATCTAGTTAATTCAACATTTGGTCGATATATTACAAAAGTTATTATATGATATTGGCCCAAATGACGAATGGCTAGATATCGAGCGAATCAATTTAGAACCAAGATCGATCGGGCTGGTGGTCCCTGCAGGGGTCTTGGGGTTGGGACACTACTGAGTAACAAGTGTTCGGGTCGGCCCACGGGGACTACTAGTGGCGTGAACAACTCATGAGACGATGACATCAAGCGTGAAATGAAGGAGTGATCGATCAAATGCAAGTCATGCCAACACAGTCGTCGAGAATATTTTCCAGTGAACAAATGAATTAGCAACGACCACAAACCCATGAATAATAACTAGAAATTTTATTTCAAGAGGGCAGAGGCGGACCCACGTTGAGTCCCACGGGGTCCCGGGACCCCACGGACCTCCACGTAGGATCTTATATATATTAGGTCCCCTGATATATTAGTAGATAAATAAACAAACCCTTGTAATTAACAATTCACGTTGTGGTGCAATGGAAGTGCGGTTGGAAATGAAGCCTGAAGATCCAGGGTTTGATTCCGAATTCCACCATATTTTTTTATGCTCCTCAATTGAATCCTTAAGTAGTCCAAAAAAACTTTGTAATGCAAAATATTTTATTCTATTTTTTGAGGTAGTATTTTTGTATTAATACGTATTTCTTCTTCATTAGACTTTCAGTTTAAATAAATATTAAATAATCATTAAAATTCTTTTAATTAGACTTTTCCTAATAAATACCTAAGCAAATCTACTTTTTATTTTATTTGTATTCTTTTTACAATTTCTTTCCGTTTTTAAAGTGTGATAAAGAAGGATTATATTATGGATATGTCCTCAATTTTATCCTCAAGAAATCTAAAAAAACATTTTTAATGCAAAATATTTTATTGTATTTATTGAGGTAGTAATTTTTGTATTAATACATATTTCTTCATTAGACTTTCAGTTTACAGAAATATTAAATAATTATTAAAATTATTTAAATTAGAATTTTCCTAAAAACTACCTTAACAAATCTACTTTTCATTTTATTTGTATTCTTTTTGCAATTTACTTCCACTTTTAAAGTGTCTAAATCTTTTGTTCTAATTTGAGTCTTTTGACAAAAAAATCATGATATCCAATTAGTGAATTATATCTTTAAAAATCTCAGGTGTAGAAGTTATGACTTTAAAAAATCCATTTGAGAAACATATTTTCAATGTTAATTTAAATAGTACTACTATATTTTTTTATAGCGTACAAATAATAACATAGTATAAATGTATGTTTACAATTTAAGAAATGGGACCCCATAGTTCCCAATTCCTGGATCCGCCTCTACAAGAGGGTGCAAAAGTATGGATAAATAGAACATGTTTTTTTTTTTGCAATGAGCTAAAAGTTAGTAAATGGAATTCTCTGGCGCCACATTTTGTGTAAAAAAATATATTTCTTGAAAGATTTTTGTGTCTAGCTTTTAATGTAGTAAGTTAAAAAGTTGGTAATTAACATAAATTAAAGTTTATTACAAGATGGCTTATATGCACTAGTCCAATGTGATCCCAAGATTTTCAAGGCCAACACGTTTTCATTCCCACCGTAATAGTGTTTTTTGTTTTGTTTTTTATGTTGAGTGAGTAATTTTTTTCTATTAATTTTTTCTAAAAAAATAGTAAACTGAAGAGTACTTAATATTTCCTCCGTCCCATAAAGATGTTCTCATTTTAACTTTTAAGAAATTTAAGACAGAGATATTTTTGTTTTGACTTTCTAAAAATACTCTTGATGTGATGAATAAAAGTAGGATGTGATGAGTAGATTATTACCCCCTCCGTCCCTAAATATTTGCCACACTTGTATTCCCGAGGCAAAATGTCAAGTTTTTTCAATTTATTTTATTTACATATTGGTATAGAAATAAAAAAAATTTACATATCAAAAAACTACATGAAAAGGTCTTCGAAATAAGAAGTGTTAAGAATATTTTATTTTATCAAATAACCAAAGAAAACGTAGAAATAAACAAAAGTTCTCGCAACTGCTAAAAAAGCAAACGTTGCAAATAATTTGGGACAGATGAAGTGGTAAAAAGGTATGATGTGATAGACAAGTTAATATTTAGTATGGGTAAAAGTGGTATTTTAATTGGAAAAGAAAAGGATTTTGTGAGACAAGAAAAAAAGATTAGATTCAAAACGGTTCGATTGTCCACATGAGGGAGGTGTTAAAGTAACTAATCGATTAGATTCAATATTTTAATGTGGTTCAGCCCAAGTGTCATATAGCTCAATCAATTATCTCTACCAATCCTAAATTCTATCATCATTTTTTTTAATACTCCGTATTAAAAAAGAAATAATGATCACGGGAAGAAGGCGCTCCGAGATAGGCGCTGGCAGATTATATATTTATATATCTCAATCAATCTAAAAATGCATATGCGCGCCATGAATTATGCCATTAACTTGTTTCCACGGTCTTTTTTTTTAAATTCTTAATTTGACCAAGTTATCATTTTCGTCTTTATATGTTTTGGAAAAAAAAATTGTGTTTCCAATACAGGGCATTGCACAGTGATTCTGGTGGACCGCTTTATCAGCGTGTTGACCCGTTCGACATTTAGGTCCCGTTTGGCATCAACGTTAGTGTTTTGAAAAAGCTATCCGACGATAGCTTTTAGCGTTAGCATTTTCAAAATTAATCTACACCATTAAAATTTTATCCAAAACGCTAACGCTAATCTAAAATGATGTTCCTAAACAAGGCCCTACAAACATACTCTTTATCTTCAAGATATGGTATTTAACTTTGTTTTTCAATTTGAGAACTTCAACCGATCAAAAATTAAAGAGACAAATTCGAAATGTCCCTCTACACAAATGGAACAAATTGACAGCTGCACCAAAGCAGTGACATATCCTTAGCAGGATTAGCATGTTATGTTATTGGTACCAAATTACTCAAAAGATGGCCAAAAAGGTGCAAATATTCTTCTAATATTCTCCTCCTCACATGCACATTCTGCAAATTTTTTGCCATTCAATCATTTTAGATTTGGGTTTTACGTTTTCATCAAAACCATAATTAATTAGATAGAGAGATATCAACAAAAGAAATAGATAAATTGTATGTAAAAAAGATTTACAAAAAGAGACATGATTTCTAGATGTATATGAAATCATGTTCGGTGAAAACAAAAACGAGATAGATTCAAACTTGTACTTGCAGGGAACATTTTAAGAGCAGAAAATTCTTGTGAAGTCTTTAGGTTTATACTCATTTAATAAACTTTAATACGGAGTACATGAAATAGTTATATGTATTGGATTTTATTTAAAAAAAAAAAGAAACCCAACTATGAACACATAAAAAATATAAAAGAAGGTTTACATTATTTCACATGTTAATTTTTAAGACCACATTGACACAGCTCTTTAAAGGCACCTTATGTTTTTGTTTTTTTAAAAGAGTATGCCTTTCCACAATTAAAAAGAAACAGCATAATTTATAATTTCATATGAAGCATTAAATAATGTGTTTAATGCTTTAAAAATTACTCACCGATCACCATATCTAAATATTTATTCACATTTTGACTTAACACACTTACTATGAAAAATGTGGGACAGTTATTTGTTTAGAAATTAGAGAAAAAAACCAGATCTAAATTAAAATACAAATATTTCCTTCAAACGAGAAGAAATTCTAAAATCGAAATAGTATTTGCCTTCTAATAGAAGGCAAACGTGCAACAAGCTACGCCGCTACCCTTTTTGAATAGAAAAACTAAGTCTTTTGAAAACTACATCTATAGATCTAGGGGTCATAACATAACTATGCATGACCCGTTGCACATGACTTAGCAACACAGTTTCACGGCCTCAGGCGCGAGGAAATCAAATGTGTCAAATGTGAATGGTATAAACACGTATTGGATGTAAGGCGCACTCTCTCGTGTTTGATCACACTTTGCATGAAGCAATTTTTAACACAACTTGGCCCAACATGAGAAAACCAGTCCCCAAACCTACAAGATGAGAAACCCCTGTTAAAATTACACAAACGTGTTCCCCACCCATCCATTCAAAGGCCAAAATGTCAACTGGTCTGAGTGTCGATCTTCCTTCCAATGGATTATTCTGCGTTATAATATTTGGGTTTGAATTTTCAAGACAACTAGATTTGAGTTCTAATTTTCAAGGGTAAAATAGTTTTTACTTTTCGGTTTTCAAAAATTCTTTGTGTGTCTCTCTGCAAAGCTTGGGATCATAATAACCTCAAAATATTTGGGTTACCGTGGCACAACCCTTAATCGACAAGCAAATACTCCGTATATATTAAACTTAACTAAAATTTTGAAGAACGACAATAGAAAATGGAGTCTCGATACTGTAGAGTGGGTAATGAACTCTGCAATCGGAATAACTGAAGTAGTGGATAATGTAGAAGGGAACGAGTAGTGATGCTCGCAAAGATAAGGAGCATCTAATTCTAGGTACATTAAATTGAAGAGAGGTTACAGTTTTGTGAAACATAAGTATGTATATACTCTCCTCCTAAAGAAGATACACGATGACATGTGTGACCCGTGGAGTGGAATAAACCTAACTATGGTTAGTAGTGAGAGATGGATTGACAGTTAGGCAAATAAACAAACAAGCATGGCCCAACTAGGAATTCAATTTCACTTCTCTCTCAGATCCCCCCCACTCATATAAAAAGCCTCCATTATTATACTTTTTCCCAGTTCATAGCCAAAGCCTCTTCGTTCATTCATTTACACTACTACTATACGTACGTACACAAAACATCTATATATCTATACACACACACACACACACAATATATACATATATACAGACGGGCACGATATATATACACATATATATACATACAAATTGGAGATCTCCAACTAATTAAGTATATTACTGCGGCAATGAAAGCCGCAAGGTTAAGTTTGATCATCGCATTTCTAGCTCTCGTCAGGCTGTTATATCTCAATAATGCCTCTGCATTCAGCAGCAAGAGGTATTTCATTTTGTTGATTTCATTTGTTTATTTTGTGATTAGTGCAGAGATTAATCAATCAATAATCAATTAATCATGATTCTTATTTCCTTGATTTTTATAAAAAAAAACAGTTGAATGTATAGAGAGGAAGAACGATTTGAATGAGCATTAGAATTTTGGTTAAGTTAGTTTTGAATGGTACAGATTGATTTTAAAAACGATAAAATGTTAGATAATATTTTCTAAAGGTTAAAGTTAAACACTGAAGGTGTTGCTAGACCAGCCCTTAATTGAACTTTCAAAGTCATAGTGATGGGAGATTGGTAATTTTAGCTAGGATAGCAATAGATGGCCGATATTTTATTTCTTTTGGATCATATTGTTGGAATATTATGGAGTATTATTTAAAAAATGGTTAATAAGGTCTTTGAGTGGAACTAGTGAATCAATTGAATCTAACTAATTTTAGTTAAATTCAAGATCTTATTTATGAGCTCGCTCTACATTTGGTAGTCCATTTCAAAAGTTTTCTTTACATTACATTTTGCATTGTGTTATGGCATCAAAAATGCTAGAAACACATCAGATTTGACACAAAATGTTTCACAGACATGCACACATATTGATTGTCTGTGTGTGCCGACCTCTGTAACACATGATATCAAACTCGATGAGTTTCTGCCACAATTGTTAGGGCATAAATAGAAAGCAAAGCTAAAAACAGCAATACTTTTACCAATACTAGCATAGTAAAAATAAATAGAGAATAATAAAAATAATAAATTTACCTTTTTTTTGTAGATTAATAAATGGTGAACCTCAGCACGTGGAAGGTGTAGATGATCCAGAGGCAATCGCATTGATGGTGTCCACGTTAGTTCCTAACAATATTGTTTCAAATTCATAAATGACCCTTTTCTCATTTTATTCTCATCTTTGCAGTAGAATCTAACATAAAAATTTACTCGCCACAACTTTAATACTCCAAATCCCCAATATATATATATTCTTACAACAAAAATAGTTACAACAATTCCTACAACAGCAATCAGAGCATCTACGGTACTCCGTTCGTAAAATTGATTGTTCCTACCCCCATAACTCTCCGGTAAACCCCCCGAACCCATCCCGTCCCTAATGCACCTCCGCACCCCTTCTAATTGCACCACGTTTCATTTCAGTCAAAAGAATTGATCACAAAGTCAATAAATGAAAAGTGGTGTAATTGGAGGGGTGGAGGCACATAATAAGAACTCCAACTAAAAAGGTGTGAGAAATTCCAACTACTGTAACTACTAAAAAGCCATCCAAACCGACACTCCGTGAATTCAAACCTGCCCACTTCTCCCATCTGCATTTATTTACATCATCCATTTATTATGTCCAATATATAATGTACCCATGGTACTATAAGGTACAGTACATTTATTTATTTATTTATTTATTTATTTATTTTGGGATTGGCGGTGTTGATTAGTAGCATTCTTAATTAGTTTTTGGTGTTTTATTACGCAGGAGCATTCACAACGCTACGGAGAGGAGAAAATTGGGATACTTTTCGTGTGCGACGGGGAACCCAATAGACGACTGCTGGCGTTGCGACCCCAACTGGCAGAAGAACCGCAAGCGGTTAGCCGACTGCGCCATCGGCTTCGGCCGGAACGCGATCGGCGGCCGCGACGGGGCAATGTACGTGGTCACGGACCCAACCGACGACGACCCGGTCAGCCCGAAGCCCGGGACGCTGCGGCACGCGGTCATCCAGGTGGAGCCGCTGTGGATCGTGTTCGAGAGGGACATGGTGATCACGTTGAAACAAGAGCTGATCATGAACAGCTTCAAGACGATCGACGCCCGCGGGGCCCACGTGCACGTGGCGGGCGGGGCCTGCCTCACGCTCCAGTTCATCACCAACGTCATCATCCACGGGCTCCACATCCACGACTGCAAGCCCACGGGGAACGCCATGGTCCGCAGCTCGCCGAGTCACTACGGTTGGAGGACGATGGCCGACGGCGACGGCATTTCTATTTTTGATTCCAGCCACATATGGATTGACCATAACTCACTGTCTAACTGTGCTGATGGGCTCATTGATGCTATTATGGGATCAACAGCCATCACCATCTCCAACAATTACTTCACCCACCACAATGAGGTCTGGTTTATAGTTATTATTATGCTCCCAATTCTCTCAAAGTGGGTCACATAAATTTTTCTATTAAATTTAAATGAGGAAATGGGTCATAAGTCATAAGTGGGCAAATCTCTACAAGAACTTCTTCTTACAATAACATGGAGCCCCTACAATTACTAGAGGACCCTAAAGACCCTAAGCTCGATTAACCCTTTCCTAATCTTGTGAGCATTTAATAATATGACTAATCATTCATATCTACCATACAGGTCATGTTGTTAGGGCACAGTGATTCCTACTCTAAAGACAAGGATATGCAGGTCACAATTGCTTACAACCATTTTGGGGAGGGGCTTATTCAAAGAATGCCCAGGTATATATAGCTGAATCCCCCATATTAGTGGTACCTGATGTTTGCCTTGATCCGAGCCATCTTATTGAAATAAGGCATTTAGATTGGATCGGGTTGAGACAAACAGAAGGGGCTTTTGTCCAATTGGATACAAACTTGGTAAAAACTCCAGTGAGGACGGGTTTGGTAAGGTATGTTTGGCAGAAGTGATTGAAATGCTAACCTTCATTTCGGCCAAGCAAGCAATTCAGGAGTGAAGATCTCTATCTCTAGTCAAAACCAAAATAAGTCGCATTTGACAGCCAAACGTTGCCTTAAATTTCAAGATTGATGCAATGCAGGTGTAGGTTTGGATACTTCCATGTGGTGAACAATGACTACACACATTGGGAGATGTATGCCATTGGTGGGAGTTCAAACCCCACAATCAACAGCCAAGGCAACAGATTCCTAGCCCCTACCAATCCTTTTGCCAAAGAGGTGACTAAGAGGGTAAACACATCTAACGGCGTTTGGGAGGGATGGAATTGGAAATCAGAAGGGGACCTTATGCTGAATGGAGCTTACTTCACTCCGTCTGGAAGTGGGGCTTCGAGTACCTACGCCAAGGCCTCTAGCTTGGCGGCCAAGCCCTCTTCCTTAGTGGGCACTCTTACTTATGATGCCGGTGTCCTATCTTGCCGTCCTGGCAACCAATGTTGATCTCATTAAGAGCCCGTTTTGCAACTTTTGAAAAAAAACTATCTAATGGCAGCGCTTAGCTTTAACATTTTCAAAGTTAATCAGCACCATTAAGAAGTTAGCAAAAGCGCTAAATTGAAAGGGTCGTTCCCAAACAAGACCTAAATACTGCAGGGAACATCTTGTGAAATTACACATTTTTAGGCTTATAATAGATTGATTCAACACAACCAACCTCAGATTCTTTTTGGTAAGTAATCTAGGGGAAATTTGTCCAAAACCTCTTCCACCCATGATTCCTAAACTTGGCCTGCACATTGTTGTGTATCAAAAGTCCAATGGATGGGTAGAATCAAACACAGGCAGAGAGCGAGAATGATACAGAAGCTCAATTTTCTTGTTTTTTTACATGTTCAGCTTTCATGAAAATGAACTCCTGAAGATATAGTGTAATGTAAGTATATGTATTTGATTGAAGTTCACTTCATAAGAATCTTTTTGTTGTTCCTTTCTGTAAATGTAAACTTCACCCTCCTTTGATTCAAGGAATTCGGAGGGGAAAAGACAGAAAATAGTAAGATGAAACAATTTTAGTGTTTGGTTTGAAAAGATAAATGAAAGAAAATAATAAAAATAACAATAATAAGTCCTGTAACACGAACCCATTTGATTAATGTTTTCAAAATATGCTTCCCATCCCAAATTTACCGTCCACTCACTTTACAATAATGATAATTGTATAGCAAGTCAGCAATAAAACAACGCAATGTAAAAAAACAAGTTATGGAACAAAATTATTTTATAAAATCTTTGCCAAGGCCAAACATACCAGGTTACCCTTCCCTGTTAGTTTCATCAAAACAAAAGATTGTTTTGAACTCTTGCATTGTGATATGGGAAAAATACCGAACTCCATCGCTTACACGGGCAAATTATTTCTTAACCATCGTTGATGATTAGAGTCACTCTGCATGGGCCTTTCTTTTGAAACACAAACACCAAGCTAGTGACTGTCCAATTGGGATTCATAAATTTGTCAAAACCCAGTTTGGCAAGACCGTCAAACGCATTCGATGTGACAATGGGGGTGTGTTCACCTCAAACCGTATGACTAGTTTCTACACCAAAGAAGGGATTTTCCTTGAAACGTGTCCACGCACACCACAGCAAAATGGTGTGGTGGAACGGAAACATCGTTTACTCGAAACATCTAGATCGAGCGCTAATGTTTGAAGCAAAATTGCCATCTAGATTTTGGGGTGAATGCATTTCAATGGCGGATTACATTATTAATCGTTTGCCTTCTAAAACCCAAAACAATAAGACTCCTTTTGAAATGGTTTTCAACCAAAATCCATTCTATGAGAGCCTAAAGGTGTTCGGTTGCCTTACATACTACAGAAGTACAGAAATCGATGGGGATAAGTTCGAGGAAAGGGGTAATGTAAAGAATGGTGGCTTACATGATCATAGCAACACCAAGCAAGAAACAGAAGGGGAGACAATAGCCCAAAAACATACCCCTATACAAGCAGAAGGTGAGAATTCTCCATTATAAATTGAAAATGAGTTACATTCTTTTGTGGAACCAGAAAACAATGGCCCAACTCGAGAAAAGAGGGAAGGGTTTCCTTCTAAACGTCTTGACGGGTACGATGTAAAGCTCCCACTGTCCATCGATCCTGCATTACTCACTCACAATCAAAGTTCCTCAACGGAGCATCCTATTGCCAACTATATTTCTTATACCGAGTAGTAAATTTTCGAATCCTCATAAGGCATTTCTAACATCTATCAATGCGCACAATGAGCCCAAAACTTTTGACAAAGCTGCACAGGACAAGAGTTGGAGGGAAGCCATGAAAAGAGAAATAAAAGCTCTTGAAGTGAATGGGACGTGGACACTTGAAGTGTTGCCAGAGGACAAGCAAGCCATAGACTCTAAATGGATTTACAAAGTGAAGTATAAACAAATGGTGAAGTACAAAGGTACAAGGAAAGATCGGTTTTCCACAGTCCAAAGCAGATCACTCCTTTTTCATCTTTTAAAGTGGAGGTGTTTTCATCGACACTCTCATAGACGTTGATGATGTCATCGTTGCAGAAAACAATGCACAGAAAATAAAGAAGATAAAAAACCTTTTTGAACAACAAATTTAGTATTCAACACCTTGGTGTTCTAAAATACTTCTTGGGAATCGAGGTTGCTAGAACTTGAGAAGGCTTGGTTCTGTGACAACTTGGCAGTTAAGCATATTGGGAATAATCCAGTTTTTCATGAACGAACATACCACATGGCAACAGATTGTTATTTCGTTAGAGAAGGGGTTGAGTCTGAAGAAATAGAACCCTAATATATTGATACCAAATTGCAGGTGGCATACATGTTCACAAAAGCATTGGGATCAAGACAGATGCAGTTACTTACTACTTGACAAGTTGGGCATTCGCAATCTTCATGTTCCAATTTGAAGCGGAATATAGAACGAAATTATTTTACATAATTTTTTCCTATATATATATAGACACACACACACACATGTTTTTCATTGTAATCAGTTTAAAAAACGAAGAAAATCGATATCAATAAAGAAAGCCAATTTCTAAACAAGTATCATATATAGAAATAGAACAAACCTAACATCAGTATTGAAAGTTGAGACATGAATATTAAAAGAAACATACATACCGCAGGTTTCATGGCTTTTGGAGCAATTGGGAGTGGAGAAACAGAGAAATTTGTCATAGACGCCGAACCAGAACCTGATGAAAGCGACTAAAAATTTGTGTTTTGATCACTACAGTGCACGATCGGCGTGGTTCCGCACGTTTTCCTCTGGTTCATTCATCTGTTCTCTTCTCCGGCCTACACGAACTCAGCCTCCTTAGATTCTTAATCGTTTCTTCACCGGAGCGGACATATGGGTGTTTTGGCTCCAAATCTTTGGCACTTGAGTTACTACTTTTGGTACATTTATTTTAATTCAATCTTGATGTTGAAAAATTAAATCAAATTTGTACAAAATATTTTTTTTGAAGGCAATTTGTACAAAATATTACTTGAAGAAAAAAATTACATATTTGACAGGACTATAAACATATTCTGTATTTAACCCAACTTATGATTACTTGAAGAAAAAAAATTATGCTATTATAATCTTAAAATTCACATGTAAAATTTTAAGTTTCTGATATATTTTTTATGAAATTATAGTTACATCTGTTTAATTTTAGAAACCAAATTTTAGAAACCATAAAATAAGCATGAATCTAAAAAACACAACTGTTTATTATTCTACATGATTTTGACTATAGGTACAACTGTTTAAAAGCATTGTTCCCAATTAACAAACATTACACGATTTCAACTATGGGTACTATTTAAAAAAAACATTCTTCCCAATTAAGATACATCTTATTGTGACATATATGCAGAATTTAACAGGGGGAGTACATACATATAAATCAAACACCACACAATAATAAGCAGAGTCCATAGAAACAAAGTGTACACAAAAAACAATCAAACATCCAACACTTGATAGTAGTTGTTGATACACATCCAATCAAATATATGGACCCAAATATAGGAGTATATTCATATAAGAAAGTCATCGGTGCCGATGTACAACAGCTGCCCAACCAAAAAAACCACCGCCCGCCGCCGCCGCCATAAAAAAATGCACAAGTATTGTGTAAATAATTACCTTCCACCACACTACTTGAACAAATATTATGTATGCATGGCTGGCTTATGATCGATGGACCGGTCGGTCTACAAATTGGGCAAATCTGATCAGCGAACCGAAGCAGCTCGCTGATCATCCAACTACTTACAACAACATATATATATCGACGAACACAATTGTGATCGATCGGATTTTACAAAATGATGCGACGATGGACAGTCCACGAAGTCAATTTTATATAGTACAGAAGAAAATCATCTTTATATATATAGATATAGGTTCAAATTTTATTTGTACCACTTGATATAGGATGGCCATATTGCCATTGGATCATTGGGTTTGTTTTGATGAGCCATTTCAAACGAAAGTTGTGACCGTGGGCAAAGGGCGGGTGCTTTTTCTTGCAGTCTGTTTCTTGATGATGTCCGATTTCGGCCCGTTCGGTCTCACTTTCACTCCGCGGATCAGCTGCACGCATTATCAAGCACGAATATATATAATGTGATCACATACCATGTCGAGAATATGTGTCAAGAACGAAGTTAATATATATAATGATAATTTTAAAAAATTGCAGCGTAGCTTATTACGTATTTTCCGGATTTGGTGTCAGCATATATCACAATGAAATCTCCTTCTTGAAGTGCATTTGCCCGGACGAACTCCCCTAACAATCAACAAAACCCAAATCAAATGAAACTTATAAGCACGAAGACACGATCAATATATATAATCCGATTTGTTCTTGTTAATGAAGTTTATATATTACCAGTATTTTCGAGGAGGTACATTCTGCTTTTGTTGTTCGGCCAAAACCTGCGTGCAAGTAAAGAAAAAACATTGTAAAAGAATAAAATAAGATAGCTATCTATGGCTTCACACAATGATTTTATAATCTATGGAGTTTTATGATATGATCGAATTAGTTTAATACCTATACTTCATGTTCCACACACGCGAAGTGCCAATGTCTTCCATCGCAATCGAAATTCCGTCTCGTGATTCTAGTTCAGGCAATTGAGTTTCTGCTTCTTTCTGCATATATATATATATAACCCATTAATGTTGAAATTTGATAGAATTTAGGATGAGGTAAGAATAACTGGATTGGACAATAAGACACTTGGGCTGAACCACATTAAAAGATTGAATCCAATTGATTAGTTAGTTCAACTTAAGAGCTTATAACCGATTATTTTATTCTTAGATTTCCGATGTGGGATGCACTTTAACAAGATTTGATATTGTTAGACAATAATACTAATAGTACTTCTTGTAGTATTGGTTATGGTAGTGTTTCATTTTTACTCAGCTTTCTAATCCTATTTGTGATAGATATTGTATGTCAGTTTTCATTCTCTATTCCTAGTTGTGTTAGGAGTCTCTCCTATATATACTTTATCATGTACTACATAATTCAAAGAGCAAAATATTATTATCCCAATATTTCAACATGGTATCAGAGCCACCGCTCTTGGTGACCTAAAAAAAAGTTCTTTGCTCCCACCGCCGCCGCCGGTAATTTACCGGCGGCGGCGGCTCCACCCTATTCACATTTATTTTCTTTTTCTTCTTTATCCTCAAATCAACTTCTCCATTCGAATGAAAAAAAAGAAAAAAAACCTTTGTTGAAATCACACAAAAAAAACTATCAAAGGAGGAACTTCTGTGTTGTCATCTCCATGGTTCTTCAAAAAAAACCCAACTTCTCACAAACTCTCTCAGATCATCCTATCTTCTCAAAAANCAACATGGTATCAGAGCCACCGCTCTTGGTGACCTAAAAAAAAGTTCTTTGCTCCCACCGCCGCCGCCGGTAATTTACCGGCGGCGGCGGCTCCACCCTATTCACATTTATTTTCTTTTTCTTCTTTATCCTCAAATCAACTTCTCCATTCGAATGAAAAAAAAGAAAAAAAACCTTTGTTGAAATCACACAAAAAAAACTATCAAAGGAGGAACTTCTGTGTTGTCATCTCCATGGTTCTTCAAAAAAAACCCAACTTCTCACAAACTCTCTCAGATCATCCTATCTTCTCAAAAAAAAGAGAAAAAAAATGATTGTTGTTTCTCTCCAATTCACCATATCAAAATCTCAGACCCAAATTTTTTTTCCATCTCCAATTCTTAACCTACTTTTTCTCTCTAAAATCACTCATTCTAATCATCAACCTCCCTTCTCTTTCTCTTCTGTTGAACCAATAAAAATCCAAAGTAAATCAGCACAAAAGCAAAGCCAAGAGGGGAAGTAGTGAAAGAGGAAATAAGACCTCTACAACTCACCCCTTCAAGAAGGAAATAGGGCATTGCCCGATCCAATAAAAAGACAAAAAATGTCAAGAATCTTCAATCAAACAGGCACCTCCAGTAGCCTTCTCTATTATTCTTCGACGTCAGCAGCTACAAGCGCACGTCAACCTTCTCTCTTCTTCATCGACGTCAGCAGCTAGCTACTAGCGCACGTCAACTTCTCTCTCTTCTCCAACGACGTTAGCAGCTACCAGTGCACGTCAGACTTCTTTCTTCTCTAAGGACGTCAGCAGCCACCGGCGCGCGTCACACTTCTCTCTTCTCCAACGACGTCAGCAGCCACCGGCGCATTTCAGACTTCTCTCTTCTCAAAGTTTCCAGTTTCCAGCTAGTGTCCAAGCTTCCTCTTGCTTCAGCCAGAGTTCAGCTTGAGGGGGGATGTTAGACAATAATACTAATAGTACTTCTTGTAGTATTAGTTATGGTAGTGTTTCATTTTTACTCAGCTTTCTAATCCTATTTGTGATAGATATTGTATGTTAGTTTTCATTCTCTATTCCTAGTTGTGTTAGGAGTCTCTCCTATATATACTCTATCATTTACTACATAATTCAAAGAGCAATATTATTATTCCAATATTTCAACAGATATTTAAATTAATGTTATAGTACAAACCCAATCAATCTTTGAAAACAAAAAAAAATGTCTTGGGCGTGACATATGTGTTGGTATATATACCGAGTACTTAGAAAGACTTAATAAACCGTTATATAACAGAGAAATAATGAAGGGTTTATACTACCCGTCCCCAAAACGTCCGTGTTCGGGTACTTGGGGGTGTCCCCACACCAAAATCCTTTAGAAATTATGGAACAAATTGTCGTTTCAAGCTCCCGACCCCGTCCTCGTATAAGTCCCGTCTGGGTGGAACTTAATATGAGCATGGATTAACCTTTGGGAGCACAACCGTTATATAACGAAAGTCCAATAATAGTGATCAAAAAAATTAGTTGTATTGATTAACCTTTGGGAGCACGATCCTTCCAAGACTGCCAACGTCACTTTGCTTCAACACCTTCTGCAGCAGAAACCTCAAATTCTTCTCCGTTTTATTAGTGCCCTAATACACAGTTAAACATGACGATGGAGTTCATCTTTTAAACATGGAGTAATTATCATTAATGATGCGAATGTTAGACTGGAGACTACGTTAATCAACACACATGGATCACCTGTCGTCGCTCCGATGAGCCTTGCTTTGGATTATTGTTCTGATGATGAGGCTGCGCCACCGGCACCGGCGGCTGCCTCTCCGCCTGAGGTGGTGGCTGGGGAGCCTCCACGACCATCGGGGGAGGAGGCGGCCGAGGGTCGGAAACGGCGGCCGGGGACCAGTACATCCAATTCCCAAAGTTGTTACTATTAATAGCCTGGTGGCGGTGGAGAGGGAGTACCACTCCGCAATTCTCAACCGCGCCGCCGCCGCCGCCAGCCAATCTCATTGTGTTACTGTTCTGGTGGCGGAAGTGGTGGTGGTGGTGGTTACTAGCCAACCGCCTCTGCCGCGCCATTCTCTTCTTCCTCGCTTCTTTCGTAGCCGAGGAACCCAAGTTCACGTCCAAAAGCGGGAAAGGATACCCGCCTTGGTCGGATGCCACCATTGCATTGCCGTCGTTATCCGGGAACGGGGCGGCGAACGGCTGAGACGACGCGGGGAACTCGGAGGGCGACGGCCACGATTGGTTCGAATCCATCTGCTGGTGGAAATGACAGTACGGCGGCACTCCTCCCACGTAATTACCGTACGGATCCGATGCAACGTAATGCTGCGGCGGCGGGTGAAATCCGGAAAAAGGCGGGGGATGAGCGGGTCCCACCGGATCCGCCGGGGGAAACGGAGGCGGGAGATAGAAGCAGACCCCGTCGTCGTCCCCGGGTGGAGGAGGGAGAAGTAGCGGCGGC